CTCCCTTCCTTCCTTCCTTCCTTCCTTCCTTCCTTCCTTCCTTCCTTCCTTCCTTCCTTCTTTCTTTCGTCTTTTTTGAGGCAGTCTTTCTATGCAGTTCAGGCTGCCCTTAAGTTCACTTAATAGCCCAGGCTGGTCTTGAATTTGCAATGATCATCCTGCCTCAGCCTCATGAGTGCTGAGATAATAGGCACGTGCCACCCTGCCTGATTGAAGGCTCATTAATAATTTGATGTTGATATAAGGAAAAAAAAACGATCTTGTGAGAGTGACCTCAAAATGATACAGGGAAAAATGATCTCCCGACCTGACCTGGATGAGTTCGTGTTCTCTAAAACCGAAGAATGAATTTTAGGAACAAATGGAGGTTGACAGTAGAATATTTATTGGAATAGAAAGCTTCTGTCCAAGAGAGGGACGGAGGGGGGATTGAGTTGGTTGTCCCTAGGAAGCTTTCTCTTCCAGGGACTGTTAGTGTAAAACCATGTGGGGCTAAGGTGGAGAAAATGGGAACTCGCTTAGGTGGATGTGAGGTGGGAGAAAACTATGGTTGACCAACGGGGTTACAAGCACCATTGCTCAGGTAAAATTGACTAATTCCAGGACCAAATAGGGAAGGGAGTCACAAAGCAAGTAGGCATGAATTTAAAACAGGACTTTATCTGGTAGCCATCAAATAATGGTTCTTCCTGTTTTTTTAGTGTGAAGGTCAATCCCAGATGCTAATCTGTAGGGCTGTCAGCATTTGTTTGATCTTTTGTTTTTAGGTCTGACTCACAGCAAGAGCATCCATCCCTCCCACAGTTGTAAAGTATCTTGTCTTCTGTGTGATCTCCTTTGAGGGCCTGACCCTGACTGACTGCCTATAATATTTCTATCTAATTTGGCTGCCTGCAGCAGTATGGCAGTGTACTTTACCAAGGTGTTCCAATATATCTTCTGCTTTTTTCTGTGCTATGACTTTCTCCTCATTTCCTCATTAATAGAGTTCCACCCTCCTTTTCTTGAATTTGGGCAGAAATTAGTAATTCTTTGACCAAAAATCATCTGGTAGAAGTGACATTCTGGGACTCCTGAGGGTAGAATACAGAAATCTTTTCAGTTTTAAAATCTTTGGTCATTGCAGGATCCTTTTAGACTCCAGCTAACATGCTTGAGCATCCCAAGCAATATGGAAAAAGTATTTGTAAAAATTTGAGTGAACGTCCCCAACTGACATCACAGCCAACAACTACCAACTATGTCAGTAAGCCATCAGGCACATCCAGTCTAATTAAAATTCCAAAAATTGTAGCAGACATAAGGAAACTTTTCTGTACCTAATGTACTGGTGTATGAGGCCAAGGAGATTTTTGAGCTAGTGTCCTAAAAGTGCTAATGTTGTTTAAATTTTTTTTTTTTTAAAGAGAATGAAGCTATTTTAAAAAACACATTAGAAATGATACTTGTTGTATGTTATGAGTCGGTGTCGAAAGAAATGACGAGAAGACACTATGAATGTAACCTCAGAGGTCTCACTGAGATTCATCCCTCTCCAAGTGAGCTCAGAGCCTCAGAAGCTTCTCATTTTTATTGAGGACTAAAGTCAGGCTAAAGAATGTGCATCATTACATTGGCCAAGCAATGGCCGTGACTCATCCACATGGCTGACAC